TTAGTCAACATATGCATGTGCATTATTAAAGATATGTTGACAAGTGTAAAGTATGGTAGGTGGTGTGTATTATTGAGTAGACAAGTGTAAAAGTAGTGGGTAGGGATGATTGTAAAGTAAGTGTGTAGAATAGTACGTGCATTAGTGTGCACTAATTCCTTTATATATAAAGGAAGGTAGATGTAAGATAAAAGGCAGACCTTGAAGCCTTCAATAAAATGCACTTTCATAAAAACTCTCTCAAATATTTAAAATATTTAAATACTTAATAGATAATGGAAAAAACTTCAGATATCATGGATAAGCAAGAGGGAAAGGTATATTGTTCAATAAATATGCAGAACTAATTTCATATATTCCTGAATATCATATATATGATTGAATAAATTTATGTTAGTTATTATGTATTAGAATTATTTGAATCATGATTTCTAGTTTATTAGCACACTAGAAACAGGGAGAAAACTTCTATACTATGCCATCCTAATGTTGAAACCGGTAGGCGAGGAAAGCCGTTTAGGGGAGTAAACAAAGTTGAGGCGCTGATAAGAAGGAAGTATCCGCTAAAGTACGATGCTAGTAGTGACAGGAAAACATGATAAAGATAATCTAGTTCATAATGATCTAATATGAATTTAATCAATTATGAATATGATAGGAAGGAATAATTTGAAATAAAAAACCCGCATAGTAAAGAACATGACTACATATATGCATGACGAAATAATAAAAAGCTATAAAACTTTAATCTTATATATACTAAACGGTATAGAGATAATTGAATTAAGAAGAATCATATGGGAAAAAATATTTGATGACTACGAATTAGAAGATATATTAAATCAAGAATGGTATGAAATAGATTTACAAGATCTATATTTAGATAATGAAAAAATAGAATGGTATGATTTAGAAATAAATTCAGATTAAAATGAATTACAAATATTTACAAGATTTTAAGATGGATTCCTCACCTACCAAAAATGGTATATCTACCAAAAATATTATGAATTCCCCACCTAACTAACTACCAAAAATATCATGAACTCCTCACCTACTAATAAGATGAATTCCGCTTATAAATTTTATTTACATGTTAAATAAATGGTTAGTGAATATAAATGTGAGGTTATTTTTAACAAAATATAAAGTTGTGGGTTAATTTTTATATTTAAAAAAATTCCAAATCATGATATGGAATTCCCAAATCATGATTTTTGGAGAATATGAGATTCCATCTCATGATATGAAATCACGAGATGGAATCAACATGAAATCACATGTCCAAACACTGATTCCATCTCATGATCCCATATCATGATATGGTATCGCATGTAGGAATTTGGTCATGTGATACCATATCACGCTATGAAATCATGAGATGGAATCAGTGTTTGGACATGTGATTTCATGTTGATTCCATCTAACGATTTCATATCATGAGATGGAATTCCATATTCTCCAAAAATCATGATTTGGAATTCCATATCATGATTTGAGATTTTTAAATACAAAATTGACCCACAAGTTTATATTTTGTTAAAACAACCCCACATTTATATTTACTAACCATTTATTTCATATGTAAATAAAATTTATAGTCACATCATTTCTTTTTAAAACTTTTTATTCTCACAAACACAAAATTTGTTATTACTTTAAACTTGGTGAATATAAATGATAAAGTAGGAATCGATTTAGTGAATATAAATAAGAACGGAGGGAGTAATACTTTCAATATGTTTGATTTTAGCACGAAATTAATGCACTGAAAATATGTAATTGCACACAAGTGAAACAAGACATGAACCATTATGATATTGACACACAAGTGAAAATTGTAATAGCTTGTATATTGTAACATAATTATATGCGAGAATATCAAAGGAGTGATGAAATATTTATGGTCTATGAGCATTAAAATATAGTTGTGAATGATATTGATCAACAAATGACTCAAAATAACAATGTTGGTTCATCTTCTCAGTCATATGATCAAGAAATGCAAGTTCAATGTAAGGAAATTATCCTCATGTGTGTTCCTGATATTTGTGATTGATTACGTACTTACTTTAGTGTTGTTTGCCACATGCTAAGTGTCATAGTTAATTTTATACTATTACTTATTGCATATTAGTTTCTATTTTGAGTTGGCCGATGATACCTACTCAATACATGTTGCCTTGTACTAACCCCTACTTGTGTTTTCTTCATTTTCTTTTGTGGATTGCAGCAAGTATACCATAGACTTTGACTCGCCCTCAGCTCTAGCCAGTCTGCAGCTCATCAGACTTTAGGGTGAGCTACTTCTTCTAGCTCGTGCTGGATTCTCTTGGTCATGACATGATGTCCTTAAATTTCGGACACATACTATCCTACTTATTTATTTTGGTGTCTTTAATACTCTTAGACTTGGTATTTCTAGGATAGATGTCCTTATGTGATGACTTTCTGGTTTTGGAGATAATATGTAATAGGCTCTAGAGATTTCTTATATTAGAACTTTAATAAGTTTTGAGCTTCCACATTTTGGTTATTTTCCGTATATTGAACCATTTATATAAGTTGGGGTTGAATTCCTTGATTCGCTCACTTAGGAGGTTAAGTGTGGGTTACACTCATGACTTGTTTTGGGTCATGACAAATTTGGTATCAGAGCTTTAAGTTTGGTGATCTCATCACATAGAGACAGGTCTAGTAGAGTCTTGTGAAACGGTACGGGGACACCTTTACTTTTTTTCGAGAGACTATATGTCTTTAGGAAAGCTTATTTCTTTCTTTCTTTCGTTCTATTACTTGAATCCAATTGGTATCTAAATGATACAAATTGGTATTTCACCTACTTCACACTATTTCAAAGATTGTCAAAACTAGAGCAACAATTATGGCAACACCAACACTAGCAAGACAAGGTGCCCTTGAGCCAACCATTGGGGCTGCACCCCGAGGGGGAGCAGTGGCTAGAGGTCGTGGTAGAGGTCGCGGGAGAAGGCCCACTAGAGGTAGAGCACAAGCAACTAGTCCAACTAGATATAGAGTAGTGACCCCTTCACTGGCTGATAAGGTAGCGAGAGAGGGTGATAAGGGGGAGAATGAACAGATTCATGAGAAGGAAGCACCACCCCAGCCTACTCCAGAAATGATCAATCAAGTTCTCACTTATCTCAGCGGGTTATCTGATCAGGGCCAGGCACCCCTAGCGTTTTCTGCACCAGCACCTCAGGTTCAGGGAGTACAACATGCAAATGATGTGGCTCCCCGCATGAATGCATCCTTGGAAACATGCACGTTTCCCCCTTTTGACTACAAGGCCTATAATGACTAGTGACTAGCATGATCTCTTTATTAAGTTCTTAAAGTTGAAATTTTCGGTCTTCAAGGGTACTAAATCTGAAGATGCTTATGATTTTCTTGTTGATTGTCATGAGTTGATTCATAAGATGGACATAGTGGAGCGATTTGGTGTTGAGTTTGTGACCTACTAGTTTTAGAGGGATGCCAAAATGTGGTTGTGGTCTCATGTTGAGTGTCGACCAACAAAGGCACCACTTATGACTTGGGCAACATTTTCTAGCTTTTTCATGGAGACGTATATACCCCGAACTTTGAGGGACAGAAGGAGAGATGACTTCCTGAACATAAAGCAAGGAAAAATGTCTGTTGTAGCTTATGAGGCCAAATTTTGTGCATTATCCAAGTATGCCATTCAGCTTTGCTTCAGTCTGCAAGAGAGAATTCGCTGCTTTGTGAAGGGATTGAGGTCACATTTACAGATTCCAGCTATACAAGTAGCTGCTTTTGTAAAATATTTTCAGGAAGTGGTTGATTTTGTGATAGAGGTAGAGGGGGTTACGCCAGATGACTTCACCAAGGTGTCAACGTTTAAGAAGTTTCATAAGAGAGGTGATTTTAGTGGTTCTTACTCCTGAGGGAAGAGTTCTGGGGGTTATCCACCCCGTCCTATTCACTCTTCACTGCAAATTTCAGCTGAGGGTCCGTCACAGACTAGTCAGCCTTTTTCTGAGTTTGGGGGTTATCTTCAGTCTTCTTCATCTTCACAGAGACCTACTCTCGACTCTAGGACTTATTATGGATGTGGTGAGGCCGGACATATCAGGAAATATTGTTCAAAGCAGAGTCAGGCTCGGTATGATTAAAGTTACAAATCCCCAACAATTAGATGTAGAGGTGGTCATGGTAGAGACCGTCATTCTGGAGGACATGGTGTCCAAGGTAATGGTGTCAGCAGTTTGGTCGGGGTGGGGGTAGGTTGGAACTACTAGAGTGCAGCCCAGCAGGGGCAATGGACAGACAAGTGATAGATCCCATTGTTATGCTTTCCCCGGGAGACCAGAGGCAGAGATATCTGATGCTGTTATCACAGGTACTCTTCTGGTCTGTGATCGCATGGCTTCTGTATTGTTTGATCCTGGATCCACATTTTCTTATGTATCTTCCTCATTAGCTAATGGACTTGATTTGCATTGTGACTTGCTTGACATGCCTATTCGTGTCTCTAGTCTTGTTGGTGAGTCTGTGATAGTTGAGAAGGTGTATAAGTCTTGCCTTGTGACTTTTGTAGGGAGCAAAACTTATGTAGATTTGATTATTCTAGAGATGGTTGATTTTGATGTAATTCCTGGTATGACTTGGATTTCTCCAAATTTTGCTATCACAGATTGTAATGCTAAGATTGTGACCTTGGCCAAACCTAGGATAGATTCCCTAGTGTGGGAGGGTGACTATATTCCCTCCCCAACTCGTATTATCTCTTTTCTTCATGCTAAGAGGTTGGTGAGTAAGGGTTGTTTAGCTTTGTTGGCACATCTCAGGGATGATACTTCCAAAGTGCCTTCGATCGAGTCTGTTTCGATAGTCCATGAGTTTGTGGATGGTTTTCCTGCAGCCTAGTATGCCACCAAATAGAGATATTGATTTTTGTATTGACATGGAGCAGTGGACTCACCACATTTCCATTCCACCTTATAGAATGGCCCCAACCGAGGTAAGGAAGTTAAAGGCCCAACTTCAGGAGTTGTTCGGTAAAGGTTTTATTAGATCGAGTGCATTTCCTTGGGGTACTCCAATTTTATTTGTGAAGAATAAAGATGGTAGTTTTCGGATGTGCATAGACTACAGACAGCTGAATAAGGTAACTATAAAGAACAAGTACCCCATTCCTTGCATTGATGACTTGTTCGATCGGTTACGAAGTGCTTGTGTCTTCTCTAAAATTGATTTAAGGTCTGGTTATCATCAATTAAAAATGCGGGCAACAGACGTGCCAAAGACTGCTTTTCGAACCAGGTATGGGCATTATGAATTCTTAGTAATGTGTTTTGGGCTTATGAATGCCCCTGCTAGTTTCCTGAGCCTAATAAACGTAATTTTTAAGCCATATATGTACCTCTTTGTTATTGTATTTATTCATGATATGCTGATATACTCAAAGAGCAGGAAGGAACATGAGGAGTATTTCAGAATTGTATTGGGGTTGTTAAGTGAGAAAAGTATTTATGCCAAATTCTCCAAGTGTGAGTTTTGGCTCGATTCAGTGTCACTCTTGGGGCACGTGGTTTCTAAGGATGGAGTGATGGTGGATCCTACTAAAATTGAAGCAGTGAAGAGTTAGGTAAGGCCTACTAATGTCTCAGACCTAAGGAGCTTCGTTAGTCTAGCTAGCTACTACCGCCGGTTCGTCAAGGGATTCTCTTCCATTGCTTCCCAACTGACCAATTTGACCAAGCGACTACTGCACTGATTCTTGCTTTGCCTGTGGAAGGTAAGAATTTCATTATTTATTGTGATGCATTTTATTTTGATTTAGGTGCAGTGCTAATGCACGAGAGAAATGTAATTGCATATGCTTCAAGGCAATTGAAAGTACATGAACGTAACTATCCGACCCATGATTTGGAGTTGGGTGCAGTTGTATTTGCATTGAAGCAGTAAGGCATTATGTATATGGGGTCAAGTGTGAAACATATACAAATCATCGCAGTTTATGATATGTGTTCACTAAGAAGGATTTGAATTTGAGGCAGATGAGGTTGATAGATTTATTGAACGACTATGAGATTACTATTCTATATCACATGGGAAAAGCTAATGTTGTGGCTGATGCCCTAAGTAGAAAAGCAAGGAGCATGGGGAGTTTATCCCACTTACAAGTTTCTAGACGCCCATTGGCTAGAGAGGTTCAAACTCTGGCTTATGACTTTATGAGGCTAGAAGTACTTGAGAAAGGAGGATTCTTGGCCTGTGTAGAGGTAAGATCTTCTTTTCTTGACAAGATTAAGAGAAAGCAATTTGATGATGAGAAGTTGAACCGGATTCGAGATATAGTATTGTGGGGAGAGGCTAAAGAGGTTGTGATTGATGAGGAAGGCATCTTGAGAATTAAGGGGCAGGTGTGTGCATCATATGTTGATGATTTGACTCATACTATTCTGGAAAAGGCTCATAGTTCGAGGTATTCTATATATCCCGGTGCAACCAAGATGTATCGTGATCTGAGACAACATTATTGGTGGAGTAGAATGAAGTGTGACATTGATGATTTTGTTGCCCAATGCCTGAATTATCAGTAGGTAAAGTATGAGCACCAGAGGGCTGGAGGGACATTTCAGAGAATGCCCATTCCTGAATAGACGTAGGAAAGAATTGCAATGGATTTTGTGGTTGGTCTTCCAAAGACAAAGGGTAAGTTTGATTCTATATGGGTAATTGTGGACAGGTTAACTAAGTCTGCTCACTTCATTCCTATCAAGATGACTTACAATGCTGAGAAGTTAGCCAAACTCTATATCTATGAGATTGTTCGATTGGAGTTCTAATCTCCATCATATCAGATAGAGGTATGCAGTTTACTTCTAACTTTTGGAGGACCTTGCATGCTGAATTAGATACTACATTGGATCTTGGTACCTCATTCCACCCTCAGACCGATGAGCAGTCTGAGTGAACAATTCAAGTGTTGGTTGATATGCTTCGTGCGTGCGTGATAAATTTTGGTGGTCATTGGGATCAACTCTTACCCTTGGTAGAGTTCTGATACAATAATAACTATCACTCGAGTATTGATATGGCCCCATTTGAGGCATTGTATGGAAGGAGATGTAGGTCTCCCACTGGTTGGTTTGATGTATTTGAGGTGAGAACTTGGGGCACCGATCTTTTGAGGAAATCATTAAAGAAACTGAAATTCATAAAGGAGAAGCTTCTAGCAGCTCAAAGAAAGCAGTAGGAGTATGGAGATCAGAAGGTTAGGGACTTAGAGTTTATGGAGGGTGAGCAAGTCTTGTTGATGGTTTCACCCATGAAGGGTGTGGTGTGGTTTGGTAAGCGAGGTAACACTACTAAAAAAACAGTGAATACCGACCTAAAAATTTCCGACCTCAAATGGAGGTCGGTATTTACAAGTAGTCGGTTTTTATGCAAAATAAAGCGGGAAAACCAAATTCCGACCTCCGGAGGTCGGAATTTTTCCAGGAAAAAATGAATTACAAAAAAATACCGACCTCATGAGGTCAGTATTTTTTATATCATACTATTTAATTTTACCGACATACGGAAGTCGGTATTATAA